AAAGGTTTGTGGCATGCCTCAGAGACCCCTGGGGGGCACTGAACACACACACACACACACACACACACACACACACACACACACACCAGCAAAAACAAAAACAAAAAATGTTTCACTCAGGAGGGTGGGTTCGGACTTCCATCGTAGAGGCTCTGATCTCAGCAAAGCATGTATGAAATTCTCAATAAATTATTTATTTTAAAAAAAAGTTTCACTCAGGTCTTCTGCTCACCTTAGCCCCGTCTGTCTGTAGCTGTTTGGAAGCTTTTGCTTAGTAGTAATGAAATAAATACCCAACTACAAGTGGTTTATACATTAAAAAAGACATTTAATGATCACACTTTACAAAAAATTATAGGTAGATAGTTTCTACATTGGTTCAGTGGTGAAATGGTGAAAGTACTTTTTTTAGACCAAGATTTTTTTTTTTTTTTTTAAGACAGGGTCTCCCTGAAACCCCAGTTGGCCTGGAATTCACTATGTAGATCAGGCTGGCCTTGAACCCATAGAGATCTGCCTGTTTCTGCCTCCTGAGTGCTGGGTTTAAAGGCGTGCGCCATTGTGCCCGCTGTGGCAGGCTTGCTTGTTTACTTAGTTTGTGTTTTGCACACCAGTACCTAATTATTCTGCCAAGTCAGGAGGAATGTGTTGATAATTTAGACAAGATGGTTAAATGGAGGAGTTCACAACAAGTATCTGACTGCTCCTTGACCCTCAGATACAGGTGGGAAAAACAGCTGTTGAAGCTAATTGAGCTAAGCAAATGGTGGCTATCTCTGATGTTCTTCTGTATAAAAAGGCGGAGCTAAAATAAACCGGGGCTGCAGTCTCTACTGACAGTCCTCCCAAGTATCTTTTCTCTGTCTCTTGTTTTTTCTTTCAATCCTCATGCCCCCTTTCAGGTACTGTCCGCCTTGGCCGGCTGGCACCGACATGCCTGGCCTGACCAAGATTTTTTAAATTGAGGTAAAACATACATAATAACAATTACCATTTTAGCTCTTCTTTGTTGTTGTTAAAATGCTAGGGTTCAAGCCTGCATCCTCTTGAATGCTAGGTAAGTACTCTACCAGTGAGCAACACACTGACCCTCATTTTAACAATTTAAGTGCAGGGGCATCTAGCACTCCCACAGTACTGTACAGTGACCACAGTGTCCACCTTCAGGACTTTCCTATTATTCTAAACTGGAGCTGCCCATTGAACATTAACTGCCCATCCTCTCCTCCAGCCTTCAGTAAGCACTATTCTGCTTTCTGTCTCTGTGAACTTGACTATTCTTGGTATTTTCTAAATGGAGTCATATAATGTTTGTCCTTTTGGGCCTTGTCTGTTTCACTTAGTATGATACTTCCAAGACTTACCCATGTGGAAATATGTATCAGTCCCTCATTCTTTCTCATTGTGGAAGTGTCTCTTGGGCAATCATTTGAGTTGCTTTCACCCTTGATTCTTATGAATAATGCTATGGACATTGGTATACCAATGTCTGTTTGAGTCCCTGCCTTTTGTTCCTTTGGGTTCATACTTAGAAGTGAACTTGATGGATCAAGTGGTGAGTCTGTATTGACTATTTTAAGAAAACCTGCTCCTCTGTTTCCCACTGTGTCTGAGCCATGTTACATTTCCACCAGCAATGTGTCAACCGTCCCTTTCTCTACTTCCTTGTTGACACTTGCTATTTTCTCTTCTCTCTTATTTCCTTTTTTCTTCTGATAATAACTCTCTGAGTGTGTAGGAAGTGGTATTTCAATGTGACTTTAATTTACCATTCATAGAAAACAGAGTTTTCTAAGTTTTGGGCCCAGTGGTAGGATGGATCAACTCTATCAGTAGGCATACCAGTATGGAAAGGAGTGAGCAGCCAGGGCACACATTCTAAACTTCGCAATGGGGTTCTGGTAAGATATGGCATCTGTGCCTCCGTGTAACCATAGTAGAGGGGCTGCATCAATTTGAATACCAGGAACAGTGTAGATATGAGCAATAGGGAATGGCAAGAAGGAGCCCTGAGGGGCTGCAGCTTATGTGGGCGGTCTTAGAGGGTAGTGGAGGTGTTCCCTGAAGAAGAGCCAACAAAGGAAGGCCTGCTTTCCTTGGGAAAGAGCTCCTTGCTGATCAGGCCATAGGTAGCCATGATCTTGAGGAGTCCATGGCGAAACTTTTGGCCTATGAAGGCATAGATGAGAGGGTTAAGGCAACTGTGGAGGAAGCCAAGAATCTCAGTAGCATCCAAGGCCCGGTCAATGTCATTGTGGCGTGCACAGGTCTCCTTGATCATTTGGGTCCTCATGAGGGTGTCCGCAAGCAGGACCAGGTTGTAGGGCAGCCAGCAGAGCAGAAAGACCAGCACAACAGCAAAGATGACCCTCATAGCCCGGTGCTTCTGGCCCATGTGGGCCTTAAAGAGCGTGCGCAGTGTGAACCCATAGCAGAACAGCATGACCAACAGTGGCAGGAGGAAGCCAAAGACTTGAGGCAGGATTCGCAAATACAACCGCCCTTGGGCTGTGTTGCTACCTATGTCTTCATAGCAGATTGGGCTGAAAGTGGGTGGTTTGATGGCTTTACGTAGAACCAGGATGGGCAGGGACAGAACTGCTGACAGTCCCCACATGGTTAAGCATACAAACTTGACCAAGTGCCGCTTCTGGATCAGTGTGCGTGTGGCATGGACAATGGCCAGGTAGCGGTCCATGCTGATGCAGGCCAGTAGCCAGATTCCGCTGTAGAAGTTGATTTCCTTCAGGAACGAGGCTATCTTGCATATGGGTGTGCCAAAGGTCCAGCCCTTAACTTTGGAGGCAGCCCAGATGGGCAGGGTCAGGGCAAACAGCAAATCAGCAATGGCCAGGTTCAGCAGGTAGACATCAGTGACAGAGCAAGTGCTCCGGCTGTGTAAGATGACCAACATCACCATGGAGTTTCCCAGAAGGCTCAGCAGGGTCACCAGGGCATATATTACAACTATAACATAACTGTTGATTTCGAGGCTCTCTGGCCGGCATGGGGCGGAATCTGATAGAATAGGTGGCAGGTAAGAGCTATAACTGTAATTATCAAGATCTCCACTGAAAAGGTCGTCAATGATGAAATTCTCAAACCTAATTTCTCCCATTTTGAGGTAAACTTAAGCCTGCCAATAGAGAAGAGATAAGGGTTACTACATAGCAAAGTCATCCTGATTCTTGCCCACCCACCCAAGAAAATGGGATAGGAAGGATTTTTTGCATTGGCCTTGCATCTTACAAGAAAGTAATTTTTATTTCAAATTTGAAAATGATAGGAGAGTTGAGCTTATCAGACAAATTAGTATTAAATATTATAGTTATTACATTATTAGTAATAAATATTACAGTTATTACATAATTAGTAATAAATATTACATTTTGATACTGATTACAGTTCTTTCCAATATCAGGTAGCCTTGGTTGGCCTCACATTTGCAATGTAGCCAAAAATGTATAAATATATTATACACATGTATGAAAATAAACCTATTATTATGTACGATTAATACATGTTAATAAAAAAGGTTAACTGAAGAGTGCACAGTCTTGCAAAGCAAATATTAAAAAATAATAAGAATAACAAAAGTGGGCTGGAGATGTAGCTCATTTGTCTAACATGCACAAAGCCCTGGGTTGGGCTTCCAACACTGCAAAAAACAGGTATGATGGCGCAAACTTGTAATTCCAGCACTCAGCACTCTGGCAGCAGAGGAAGGAGGATCAAGAGTTCAAAGTGGGACTGGAGAGATGGCTCAGTGATTAAGAGCATTGACTGCTCTTGCTGAGGACCCAGCTTCAATTCCCAGCACCCATACGGCAGCTAACAATCATCTGTAACTCCAGTTCCAGGAGAGCTGAGGCCATCTTCTGACCTCCATGGGCTTTGTATGATACCAGTGCACTTACATACACTCAGGCAATACACTCATACACATAAAAATAAAAATAATAAAAATATTTTTAAAAAGAGTTCAAAGTCATCTTCTGTTACATATATTTAAATCTAGCCTAGACTAATAGGAGACTCTGTCTAGAAACAAAATAAAAATGATAGGGTGGGGGAGGTAGATTATTAGGTAAAAGTGCTGCTCAAATCTGACCACCTGAGTTTGATTGATCCTGGAACTGAAGTAAAAAGCCGATAATGCTTTTAAATTTTTTTAAAGATTTACTTATTTTTATTTTATATGTATGATTGCTTACCTGCATATGTTAGTGTACAACGTGCATGCCTAGTGTCCCTAGAAGCCAGAACAGGGCATATCCCCTGGAACTGGAGTTACAGGAGTTGTGAGCTGTGAACTATGTGGGTACTGGGAACTGAACCTGGGTCCTCTGCAAGAGCAGCAAGTGCTTTTAGCATCTCTTCAGTCCCCACCCTTTCCCTGTGAAGCTGTGAGGGAGCTCCTGCTCCTTGGCAGCAAGGGTGGACTCAGTGTTCCATAGGGAAACCATATAGGCCAGGATGGAGGCTCAAAAGAGAGGACCAGGAAAGGACAGTGATGCCTAGTTATGGGAGAAGGGTTGGTTTTGGTGTTTGTATTTTAATCTACCAATCTCTAAATGGGATGAGTTAGTGGCTGAAGGGACCATGAAAGGATGGGGAGATGACACATTTTAGATGTGCTTTGTGCAAGATTTCCCTTGGTCATCACAAGTTGTATGGTGAGCCCTTGTTTACTAGTTAGGAGACTTGTAAGGCCCAGAGAGGCTCAGTAAGTGGCCTGTGATCACAGGGCTGTTGTGGCACAGCTGGATTCCAACTCTACTTATAAATTTTAGTTTATCATTAGAAGCTTACACTTCATATGTTAGGTATATTTATTAGATAAACATTTTGCTTTACTCATTATTCTTGCTGATTGGCCCTGCACATGTCAAGCACACATCTTATTTATTAAAAATATTTTATTTATTATTTATATTTTAATTTTATGTGTATGAGTGTATTGCTTGCATGTGTGTGAGTGCACCCATGTCATGCAATGCTCACGGAGATCAGAAGAGAGTGTTGGATCCTCTGGAGTTGGAGTTATGAATGGTTGTTAGCCACCATGTGGGTGCTGGGAATTGAACCTGGGTCCTTTACAAGAGTAGTGCTCTTAACCGCTGAGCCATCTCTCCAGTGCCCCCACAAGCATACATCTTATCATAGAGCTACACCTTCAACTCCATATATTTAAGTTCTTGAATTATTATTGAGTCAATGTGGGTACAGCTCTTTTTTAAATTATTTTTATTTTTTATGTGTATGAGTGTATTGCATGCATGTATGTGAGTGCACCCGTGTTGTGCAATGCTGCAGAGGTCAGAAGAGGGCTTCAGATTCCCCTGGAACTGGAGTTAAGGATGGTTTGTAGCCACCATGTGGGTGCTGGGAATGAAACCTGGGTTCTCTGCAAGAGCAGTCAGTGCTCTTAACTGCTGAGCCAACTCTCCAGTCCCTGGGTACAGTTCTTATCATTCAAAAGCTTGGGCATCACTATCTTTTACTATCTATTAGAATCCCAAATTAAAGAATCAGCTGTTGCTGGAATGACAAACCAAACACCCTTGAACTGACTACTCTGTCGTGTTTTCCATGACCCAGTGGGAGCTCCCCACTGAGTGGAAGTGTCAGCTCCTCTTCAATCACATGAGACCAGAAACTCCAGAGATGTGATGAATTCTAGCTAACTGCATGAAAACCCTCAAGCCCGTGAGCATTTATAAGCCTCCAACATTTCAGCTAATCTTTTTAAGAACAAATAACTCATCATTTTACTACAACTCCAGCTTCATTCTCTCTAGAATAAAGTCCATAAATACTTGCATTGAAAACAGGGTGTGGAAGTCCTCAGTGTCTCCAAACCCAGTTGTAGCCCAGGCAAGGAGGACAGGCTGGCTAGGGAAGACAGTGGGCTGAAGGCAGGGGGTGGGCTGCAAAAGTAGCCCTGAGTGGGTTCCGGAGGGTGCACGAAGGAGGCAGAAGTTCTCCCTTTGGGGTAGGGAGATCTAATGGTGAAGGGTGAGGGTGAAAGGTCTGCCAGGGAGGGGGCACATACCCAGGATCAAGATGGGTATTGGGGGACAGAGAGTCATTCTGGGTGGTGGTAAGGAGTATTCCAAGACTCACCAGGAGGTTGGCTTTTCACTTGTGGACACCTTCTCCTGGACAGCTGGGTCAGTGAAGGGCAGTGATGGTAAGAATTCTCTGGAGGAAGTGAGGGGCGGATTATATTGCTTAAGCAGGGGAGGAGCTCCTTAAGAGTGCAGGCTGCTTTTGATGTTTTGAATGTGAATTCCCAGGCCAGCCCACGGATAGAGTCCTTGGATTTGGATTTGGATTGAAAGAGTTCATATACGAAGAGACCCTGTGGGGTTTTCTAGGATCTTTCCAGCTCTCAGGAGAAAACTGAGGTCCAGACAAAGGGAGGAGTTTAGAACACTCAGGATGACATCTCTCACGTCTTTGCTACGATCTGGAAGCCCCTGGTCCCTGCCACTAGCTGCCGGGTCTGCCACTTGGCTGCAGCTTGCTCTCAAGATGGGGACGCTCAATCAGACAGCAGAGGTGGCTGTTGAACTTCTAGTAGCTTTCCTCCCCGGACCCAGTGCTGCTTGTCTCCCCTCTCTAGAGTCTTCAAAAGCTACCCAGACTCCTTCTCAGTAGCGCATCCCCATGAGCGTCCTCACCCGCTAGGGCCCGTCCTCCCTCTCATTTTCTACTGCTCTCTCCATCCATCTGCCCTGACCATGAGTCCACCTATGGGTGTTGTGCCTTCTCAATTTATTTACTTGCCAGTGAGCTTGAGAATTTCAACTCTGTGGCATCTCAGACCCATTCTGGGAGCCAACACCCACTCGCTCATTTGGAAGTGAAAACTCCATCCGGGTCCAAACACATTGTGAAAAGTATTGAGTGACACCAGGAACACATCTTGTCCCCTTTGCTACTGATTCCAAAGGAAAGGATTGTACAGGGTGAACCAGGATTACCCATTTCCTGCCTCTTCCAACCATCCTTCAGGGGACAATGTCGCAATTCCACTCTTTACTCTTTGTCCCAGAGCTTAGAGTACACAGGCTGCTCCTGGAGCACACTCACTGAAGTGGCCTACTCTTAAGGTAAGAGCCCTGGAGTCCAATTTCAGTAAACATTCCTTGGTATCTGTCACCTTCTCTTTCCCCTGAGGGGAAAGAATACAATGGTACCTGGCCAGTAGATGCTATACCAGATAACAAGAGGCTCATTACACATAGAGAGGAACAGAGGGGAACAGAGCAAGCTGAGTAACTCTGGGTATGTTATTTCTGATTCTCAGTTTACTCGTTTGCAAAAGGGGGAGGCAGAATACAAGTCATTGGGTTGCAGTGATGATAAAACAAGGGATTCCTTGTGAACACCTTAGCACTCACATGGTCTTGCACACACACACACACACACACACACACACACACACACACACGCAGTGCAATGCTAGCTTGTACTATGAGTCCTAGAATAGAGATAAGTTTATCTATGGACGACTGTTCTCTTCTACCACATCCTCAGTCAAGATCAAGGGAGAACAGCAAACCTGATTTTCAGGGCCAGTCTCCATCATATGCTCTGACCTGGTTAACAATAGTCATGTAAGCCATAATCCAGATTGCCTACTAGGTTACAGCCTCATGGGCAAAAGATACTGCACCACTTTTTATTTTTCAGTCTTCATGCTGACCCCAGGAATCTGGCAGTTTCAGGGGGAGGAAATCAAGACCTGAGAGATTACACAATTTACCTAGAATGACACAGCTGAACAGGTTTGTAAATATTTTTTGTTTGGTTTTGAGATAAGGTATAACTCTGTAGCCCTGGCTGCTTGGAACTCACTATGTAGACTAGGCTGGCTTTGAACTCACAGAGATCCACCTGCCTCTGCCTCCTGGGTGCTGAGATTAAAGGCGTGCACCACTGCCTAGCTGGCTGTAAATATTTTCAATGGTATTTTTTAGTCTGCTCTTAAAGTTCTATTTTGTAAGTGCCACAAGGAGCAGGAACCCAGCATCAAGTTTCCTAGCTCTGTAGACTGCTCTGTCCTAGACAATCAAATATCATCGGTGTCAGAAAGGAGCCCAGATTGGACATTTCTCAATTACCCACTTCTGTTTTTTGTTTGTTTGTTTTGTTTAGAGATAAGACCTACTGTGTAGTCTAAGCTGGGTTGCATGAGACCCTGTCTCAAAATGAAAAAAAAAAAAGAACTTAAAAATAAACTTCTAATCTTGGTCCTGCTCTTGAGAGTCAAGATGAAAGCATCATTTCTCTCTGGGATTTAGGGGCTTTTCTGGAAGACAGCAGATTGTTCTAGAGCTTTTTTTGTCCAGAATTAAAGCTATAGCCCATTTAGTTCCCTAAATGAAAATAATTAACATAGAATATAAATTTACTTTTTAGGGACTTGGGGAGATGGTTCAAGTGGGTAAAGGCAATTGTGCAAGCCTGATGATTTCAGTCTGATTCCTACAACCTACATAAAGGTGGAAGAAGAGAACTGTCTCTACCAGGTTGTTTTCTGACCTCCACATACTTACTATGGTATGTGTATGCATATGCGCCTGAGTGTACACACACACACACACACACACACACACACACACACACATGATAATTTTTTTTTTCTTTTTGAAGCAGGGTCTCCCTGTAGCCCCAGCTGTCCTGGAACTCACTATGTAGACCAGGCTGGCCTTGAACTCACAGAGATCTGCCTGCCTCTGCCTCCTAAGTGCTGGGACTACAGGTGTGTGCCACCACGCCCGGCACACACGATAATTTTTAAAAAAGGAATTCACATCATTGGCTATACTGGCCACATTTCAAGGACTCAATAAACACAGGTGACCAGTGGCTACCATACTGGATGGTACAGATATAGACTGTACCCATTATCATAGAAAGTTTTCAGCACCAGCCAAATGAAAATGCAGATTTCAGCTGTAAGTTTCTACTCTGCATCACACTAGTCTCCAGGGCCTCAGGGAAGGTAGAAATTTCCAGGTGCCTTCCACCAGAAATATATCCCCATCCCCAGTAGGCAATCGGATAGCTCACCTACCTGTACTTTCTCCACGCTACTGTTGTGAGTGGAGTGACCACTGACACTGTCTCCTATGACTGAAGGCTTGGTAGCAGTCAGAGGACTGGGCAGGAAGAAAGTGAGGCAGCTGTGATGGGGAAGCTTCTGACCTGGCTGCCAAAGGGGAAGTCCTGGAGGCCCTTGGGTCCACTGTCCCACCCCAGGAGAGACATCCTATAGAAGAGTAGCTAGGTCTGTTCTGAGGCTCCAACCTTAGGTTCAGATTCTACCTGATGATTCTGGGATGAGATCTTGGGATTTCATGCTCTCTGATGGCTTCTGGAGGAACTTGCAAGTGTGAAACTGGAGGCCTGCTTTGCTTCAGAGCCTGTACCTCCTCTATAGCAAGGAAGATATAGATGCCCCAGACCCTGCCGATGGACTTGCCTGAACTTGACCTCACAGTTTCTCTCTCTCAGGGTCATCAGGAGAAGTGTCCCTTCTGTTTCTTCTGAAACAGATGGGGGAACCACAGCCTTCCCTTAACCTTGAAGGTCCTTCCTTCTTTCACCTCGTCCCCATTTGGCTCTTCCCCTTCAGCCCTGAACTTAGGTCTTTCTCACTCTCCGTCTCAGAATCCTTTAGCTTCTCTCCTGCTGTCTTCCTTTCCACAGTTGCTCTCTGCAGTTCCTCACCTCTCTTTTGATGCTAAACGTACTGCAAAGGGCTTCCTCCCTACTAGTCTACAGGAATGGCCTATGCCAATGTTTTCTATGACTCCTGGATTGGTATACCCAGCAAACCTTTTCTTCAGTTAAACTGTTCTCATATTGGCAAAATAGTATCTCAAAATGAAAGTGTCAGATTGGAAACAAGACAAACAATACGAAAGCACATACGTAAAACTTGCAAGTTTCTCTTCACTCACATCTTTCCCCAAAATAATTACCATCCACATTGTTGAGATCTGGCTTGCCCTACTCCAAGTTAGTCCATAGTGTGTAAAGCAGTGGTTTTGAAGGCTCTGCCTTGCCCTGAAAAACTCCATTTTACAAGAAGCACTTGACTCTGTTTTGAGGGTGGAACATGATTGTGTTCCTGGATGGACTCACAAACACCAGCATCTCTCTGACACTACCCATGCGGCACAGACTGATAAATAGCAGTAGAAAAGATACCACCCTATAAACATGTTGGGGTGAACTGAGACTCTGGGGCACATGGGATTATTAAAATCATAGCAGGAAAATCAGGCCCAAGAACTAGCATGCCCAGACTAAGGAAAGGGTCTAGCTTCCTTACCTGGACCTTATAAAGTGGTACATGCCTAGCACTCTGTTGGTATTAACCCCATCGACTTGGTCATCTGACACCCGGTGGTGTGCATTGAAGACCAACAGGTAGAGAACTCTCCAGTGTCCCTGGGTTTTAGCTCAGCAGTTCAGGCCACTGCCTACCTATTCAACCTGCTGTCCCATCTGGACCTGAATCTGCCATTCCTTATTCATTCAACCCTGGTTTGCCCTTTATCTCACAGCCAGACTCAATTCTACATCTCTGCTTTCAACCCTGACTCTCCCCAGGCCCTGCAGCAGCTTCTTTCCTGTGGCTGGTTTGGATTTATCATCTTATCAATACAGTGAAATACTATATGCATTTCTCTCAGTCAACTTCTAAAATCTCTCAAACTCTGCTATAGCACCCTTGATGTATACACATTCATACACATGTATGTATATTTACTGTGTGCTATGTGATATGAGAGTTAATATTAGTAATTAAAATAAAAATAATCTTATTAATAAGATTATATAAGATTAATAATCCTATTAATTATCTTCATTTATTCTTGGCCAGATTAGCAAGGTAGGAGTGATTATTTGGAAAGTTACTGCTGTTAAAAATCGGTATACCTTGAGCTCAGCATGGTGACACACGCCTTTGATCCCAGCACTTGGGAAGTAGAGGCAGGCAGATCTCTGTGAGTTCAAGGCTAGCCTGGTCTACAAAATGAGTTTCAGGTCAACTGGGGCTACAGAGAGACCCTGTCTCAAAAAGATAAAAAAACAGTACACCTTGTGAATTTATTGTTATTCAATAAAGTCTAACACTGTGAAAAGGGATTGGAGAGATGGCTCAGCAGTTAAGAGTACTGACTGCTCTTGCAGAAGACCTGGGTTCGATTCCCAGCACCCACATGGTGGCTATGAACCATCCTTAACTCCAGTTCCAGGGGAATCTGAAGCCCTCTTCTGACCTCTGTGGCATTGCATGACACAGGTGCACTCACTTACATGCAGGCAATACACTCACACACATAAAAATAAAAATAATAAAGAAATTTTTTTGGTCTTTTTGAGACAGGGTCTCCCTGTATCCCCAGCTGTCCTGGAACTCACTATGTAGACCAGGCTGGCCTTGAACTCACAGAGATCTGCCTGCTTCTGCCTCCCGAGTGCTGGTATTAAAGGCGTGTGCCACCACACCCGGCTATAAAATATTTTTCAAAAAGATACAAAATTGTTTATATTTCTGACATAGCATGCTCACAACATAAATCTGTGTATAAGTTTCCAGATTTCTCCCCACGCATAAATACAAATTACATTTTCTTTCCTTAATAAAGAATATATTTTATTTGTTGTATTGTCCTATACCTTGATAAAGTATCATGGACATATATCAATATTTATATATATATGGTCATCTTAGCTTTTCAATGAGTATGTAGTAGTCCATGATATGAAAGAATGATCATTTATTGATAATACTTTTTAGATAAACATGTAGGTTCTGGCTATGTACAATTCTTGGATGTAGGTCTTTGGGAACTTGTCTAAGTATTTCTACAGCTTAAGTACAAGTTTTTCTGGGTGATATTCATGCACATTTAAATTTTTATCAGTAGTACTAAATTATCCTCCCAAAACACTGTGCCAGTTCATTTTCCAATCATGGGCTTCTTTTTTTAAAAGGACCTTATTTTTTCTTTGAAATTTTATGTGTATGAGGGTTTGCCTGCGTGTATGTATCTGTGTCATACAGTGACTGCAGATGCCAGAAAGGGCTGTCTGATTTCCTGAAACTGGAGTTATAAACAGTTGTTAGTTGCAATGTGAGAAGGGGAATGGAACCTGGGTCTTCTGCAAGAGCAGCCAGTGCTCTTAGCTGCTGATCCAGCCCCCCTCATGAGAAGGGACTGTTACTTTGTAGATTCACTATGAACATTGTATACAATCGTTTCCCAATTAGCAAGTAGGAAATGCTTAATTTGTATTTTCTTGATTGCCGAGTATCTTTTCCTATAGCTTTTCAAATTCTGTGTTTTTCATGACTTATCTATTTTTTTTTTTTTTTTGGTCTTCTTGAGACAGGGTCTCCCTGTAGCCCAGCTGTCCTGGAATTCACTATGTAGACCAGGCTGGCCTTGAACTCACAGAGATCCGCCATTGTATTTTGATGTTGGGTATGGAACCCAGCCCCTCACATATATTAGGCACTGCACCACTGAGCTATACGCCAGTCTCTACTGCACACTTTTGAACTTTATGGTGAAAAGTGACTGTTCAGGCCTTCTTCCTTGATCTCTACATCACTGACTCCTGAGGATCTAGTCTTTTCTTACTGCCCCTCACTTCTAACCTGGTATCGCTTGCTGCTTAATTTGTCACCTATGGCTGCTCCTCAAGGCTTTACCTTGGCCTTTTCTTTATCATTATACCAGCTCTCCCTAGGTGAGTCCACCTGCCTCTATGGCTTCAACTAGCACCACCCACTCACTATTGGTCAGTGTCCCCAGCACGTGTTCTACTCAACTTCTCTCCTAAGCCCCAACATTGCATGAAATGATCTCCTGAGGTCTCTCATAGGCTCCCCAGATGCTACAAACCTAACACCCATGGATGGACTTGCACTGCCTTTCCTGACACTTGTCCTGCTCTTCCTGAGTGTCATATCAACCACTCTTCTGCCCTAGCTTGAGACATGCCCCTCATCTCACCAACCCCATCCTCCCATCCCCTGCTCTTCCTCTCCTCAATATTGCTCTTGACCATCTCCTTCAATGACAGTGTTAGGCAACACTTCATCCTCTCTCTCTCTCTCCTAAGCTACAACAGTAGTTGTGCAATGGTTGTGGGTTCCAGGGCTGAATTGACTGAGCTAGGATCCACTTACTAGTTGTAAATCTTTAGCAAGTATTTGATATCACTGGGTTTTCATTTTATCATCTGTAAAATGGACACAGTAAGAACATCCATTGCATACAGCTGTTACAGGGACCTAAGGTGTCTCTATAGAGCACTTAGAATGATGCTCAGCCCTGTTACTTCTGCCTTCTTCTCCTCCTGCTCCTCCTCTTCCTGGTCCTACATGTGATGGATTCCTCAAGACTTTCCCTCTTCAGTCCACCCTCCACTCTGCTGTTAGAAAGATCTTCCTAAAATGTCAATATGCTCACTTAATTTTCCTCTTAAAACCTTTCAAGGACCCCTATCACCCTCAGATGAAGCCAGTCCTAACGTGGACACTTGATACCCTTGTAGCTGACCCCTGTTACTTGACTACTTAAACCCTTAACCCTAAACCTTGGGAACTTCTTGGGGTTCTCTGGGGATCCTTCTAGTTCTCTGGGGGGTCTTGGCACATGTTCCTCTTTCCTTGGGATAGTCTTCCTGCCCTCTAGTCTGATTCTCCTTTTTGCTTCCACAATTAGTCCAGATTTTCTGATCAGTCATCTGGCTGTTGCCCCCTTTGTACCTTGAAAGCAGGGATTTCAGATGTGTGTTTATCTCTGTGTTCTCAAACCAGTCACAGTACAATGGGTGTTTCACGCATTTTTTGTGAGCACAGCCAACTTGACAAAGTATTGGAAGAGTTGATGTACATGGCAGCATCCCATCATTCAAAGAATTATGCAATTTTGTTGTCTAAACTCCTCAGAGCATCTCCAGCCAGGGAGCACAGATGAAGTCCTATCAATGAAGTCATATAAAAAATTCTGCCCTAGTAAAATTTTGTGGGCCAGCCCACTCTCCAGCAGTGACCCGACCTCATAGGCTCAGATCCTGTGTGCTCAGGCAGAGGTCCATACCCTGCTCAGGGACGTGGAATGGAGGAGTTGCCTGAGGCATCCCCCATGTGCCCCTGTGGGTGCTACTGTGGCTGGACATGTGTCCTGAAGCCACTGGTAGAACGATGCTATCTTTGGAGGGCCAGGCTCTGGGGTGATCTCTGGTGATCACTGTAGAATTCTCTAGAGTCCCCAAAGTCTAGCAAAACTTTCTAATTTTTCTTTAGAGCTAGTTTACTCTCCACTTGGGTGTGGACTGCTCAGAGACAGTGTTGAACTAGAGGTTGGAGCTCAGTATTGCTTTTCCTTTGCTCAATAGGGGAGTAACTCTAGCTCCCCCATCCTGGTCCTTGATTTCTTCCTGAGGCGTTCTTTTCCAGAGTGTCTCCCTTTCTCTTAGAAAACTGGTTTCCATTGTTACCTCTACTTCCCTTCACCCACCAGGAAGCCCTAAATCCACGTTAGAATTCCTGCTAGTATATTTTTGCTGATTAAAAATTCTGCCCTAACTTGAACCAGTGCCCAGTCTACAAAGAGGAGGGTCAACTCTGTGGAAACATCTCATCCATGCTTCCAAGTGAAGCCAGACATGGTCGAGCTGGACCTTTGACTTATCTTTATATAGATGGAACTGGTAAAAGAAAGGAG